AGGGTATTTGGCTAAATTGAGCCTAATTTGGACCAAATATGGGCGTGGCTGCCCCGCGGGCACTGTTTGGCGGTTGGGGTCCTAGTTTGTTGGTCAACTGCTATCTCGAAACCAAGTTTCACAATATATGGGCCAAAATCGATCAAATTTGGTGCGTATGCCCAAATATGGTCATAGTGTTTTTTGTTCTTAACTCAGTCATTTTTTGTCCAATCTTGACGGAAATTCATATACGAGTTCAGAGGACCACTAGCTACAAGTAAAGCACCTAAAATCTGGATTTTGGGCATATTCAGGGTATTTGGCTAAATTGAGCCTAATTTGGACCAAATATGGGCGTGGCTGCCCCGCGGACACTGTTTGGCGGTTGGGGTCCTAGTTTGTTGGTCAACTGCTATCTCGAAACCAAGTTTCACAAAAAAATCAGGGTGAACCCCCCCCCCCCCCCCCCCCCCCCCCCCCCCCCCCCCCCCCTTAAAGGATATATAATGCCAACACAAATCCCGTCTTTAATCTGTCGATCAGTTTTGCAGTTTTCTCGTTGTTCCAACTTGAATTGCCGATGTCCATATCTTTAAGAAATGTTATGTTCACAACATCTATACTTCAGGCGATTGCACTAAACTGCATCCAGTATGGTTTTACTTGACAACAGAGACTACTTTCCCAGTATCAACAGGAACTCTGATCACAGTGAAATGTCACGATGGATTAACAAATATAGGAAGTGAAATAATAGAGTGCCAAAATATGATACATTACAAGTTTGATAATGAGCCTGGATGCGAACCTGAAGGTGAGATACTTCAACAAATATTCGTCAGAAATTTTGTACTTAAAAGAAATAATTCCTTGAATAAATTTTATGTCCCAAATCATTCAAATAATTATCAGGAAAAATTATCTTAATTTAAGGAACCAAAGATAAGTGACCACTCAATTTTATTTTTATTTTCAGACTGGTCCCCGATAACAAGGAATGAGTATATAGATCACGATCTTGAAGCTACCCCACTAAAGATTCTCACTGATACTGCGCTCGGAATTAATGACTTTGTTAATCTGGAAGTGCAAAGTCTCGGAAAAATACGAATAGACTTCCTATACAAGCGGTTTTCTATAGATTCATGCGGTGTTTATGGATTTGCCAACCTACCAGAGGACCTTAATAAAGAATGGACGATTAGCAAAACGAAGGAAGCTCTTACTATTCTCTGTAACGGAGTGGAGGTCCTAAACTTGGTCTATGCTGATTCAAGCAATGAAAAATGCGAAACCACTTGGTCAAGGAATGCAGCACAGATCAAGTTTAGAGCTGATGACCAAGCCTCTGACTATTTTTGGGATCCGCTGGAACTAAAAAGTGAGTAAACAATTTTTTTAAATCTGAAAGGATGTGATATGATCCTTTGTTGTATCCGTGTGTATCTTTTAAGTGTTCTGGAACTGAGTGAGTACCAGGAAGGGTTTCAAATATCATAGAAATAATGTTACCTAAATGTTAAGTAAAGACATTGGTAAATGTTCACCAGACTTTCACCTGCTATTGAGTGTTTAAACTTTGTGATTGAGTTGTACATTTCAGGATGTGAGGATTACGACGAAACAGATCTAGCCAACCTCTCACTAATACCTGAACTGCCTGTTGAGCATGGCACAATGCTCACTATCAAGTGTAACAAAGGGTTTGCTCTGCAGCGAGGTGGGCACACTGTCGAATGTTTAAGGAGAAAACTTGTCTACGCAGCTAAACCGCAGTGTGTTAAATATAGTGAGTTATACTTAGTGATTTACTTAGATTTACGCTATATTCACACTCAAGTTATGACTTGAATAAAATCAAAATGTTTGGAAGCATTTTGATTTTATTTCATCTCTCAGTAGTCAGTTCACATTTCTAATCCTCCAAAAATCCCAATACAACTGTAAATTTATTTGTTGATATAATCTGGCGTAACGTCAGCTAAATATCAACTGTTTGTTATGATTACTAACATACCATTGTAGATGTTTCCAAAGCTAGCAAATTGCCACTGAATGCAGACTGCCGTGACGAGAATAAGAAGTAAGGTACTGAAGAACAACTGCAGTTCTTTTCCAGACGTGTCCAGAAGTGACGGGTCGTACTTATAAACTCCGAAATTGAGTAAAAGAGTGATAAACAGCGCTGCCGGACCTGAAATAGTTTAGGTGTGATACATGAAAATGAAAATTTACAAAAAAATCGAGAATTATTCTCAATCGGATGACAATACTAAAATTTGTGCGCGTATATGAAGACTTGAATCAATGCTCTGACATCTAGCAGGGTGGCGCAGTGGAAGCGTGCTGGGCCCATAACCCAGAGGTCGGTGGATCGAAACCACTTCCTGCTAAAATATATTTTTTCTCTCACGAGTAACATGAATTAATTTAACTATAAACTCTCTTTGTTTTTACACGCATCAGTGCATAATCAGTCAGATAGTCCACATTCGCTCTTAATCAAGTACGATACGTTGGTACCTCTCCAGAGCACTAACGTCTAACAACACTTTACCTTCTCCTCTGACGTTCGGTAACTAAAAGTGTTAGTCAGGGAGCGCCTTCAAATGATAAAATCGACTGAAAAAGGAAGAAATCAGAAAACTATCTTCCGATGTTTAGAGTAATTGGAAACTTACAGAAATTGCAGCGCTACAGCCTACAGGAAACAGGTGACACAAATTGTCTGTTCTATGTGAGGGAGAAACCAAATGTTACAGTTAACAGGTTGACAAGAGACAGTCAAAACGATCTACGATTTAGCTTCGATATTATTGCCAGTTGTGAGTTGCTTGACCATGGACGGACTGTGTATGTACTCAACTAAAAACTTGGCTGCTTAGCTTAATTGCGCGCTCAAATAAAATTTTCAAAAACTTGACTGCGCGAAACACATCACACTTTAATGAAATGCGTGTTACAGTTCGGCAATAAAATTGCGCGGCAAAAATGACACTGGCGGGCAAGTCAATTTCAATGCTATCTCTGGCAACGATGTAACATTTCAATTTTGATAGTGAGTTAAGTAAAGATATGATGAATGTTATTCTACAAGAAGTGTCTAGAAAAAATAATGAATCTAGGTAAACTTTAGGTAAAAATATAATATTAATCATAAGCTAAAATGTACTAATCTTTGTATTCTAAATGGGGAAAAGTCAAAAGAAGAAACATTGTCAGTCAGTCGAGAAAATTGTCAGTCAGGCTATATGGCAGCTTTGTAGATGTTGTGACAATGCTAGTAGTGGTCTCAGGCTTGCGACTGGAATTGCGGTGTTAAATCGATTTAACGGTATACCAACGATCCACCTGATGATTCATGACCTTATCTACAATGTTATAGTTATTGTCATATCTTACACGATCATAAATCCCTACACAACAATAAATACGGAAACCCAAGTTGGCTCAAAGCTCGGTCCTACAGTGACGTCATGATAACACAACGAGATTTGATTTCACTTACATACTAACGATGTACATTCTATAAACACAGGTTTTGGGTCAGTTTCTTGGCCTTGTGCTAGATTCTTTAGATTGCATTATGACACGATCATCCATGATTTGCAGGAAATTAAAATAGTCCCGACCGAACTTTCGGTTGGAGTAGACATGGCAAACAACAGAATCTTGCAGCTCACTTCAAACACATCATGCGAATAAGCGGTTTCATTGGCTTAAAATCCCACCAGTTTAGAAAGTGTGTATCCTCCCCACGTTGCCTCACGGCAGTCCCAAATTCCACACCAGAGCCTACAATTTACACGTTGATATCAAGATTGCAATCAAATATTAAAGCAAATTGAGGAAAATCCTCTATCAAATCATGTTACATTTCAAATGAGTGGGGAAGGTGAAAGGTCGGCCCTGTTTGTAATAGTGCAATAAGTAATAGTACATAAGTACGGACAAAAGTACGGACCCGGTTTAGACTATTCTTGTTGCTTTAGAATTTATCACAGTAATTCTTAAACCAATAAAAATTTTTTTCCCCCTATTATTATTGGGGCCACTTAATCTTTGACTTTGGGAAATCTTCAAAACCTTGTATTTTATTATATTCAAAAAATTAAAAAGGGGAAAAAAAAGAATGTGGGAATTTTGGGTGGCCCCCAAATTTTCCCCCCTTAAAATTCAATTTAAAAAAAGTCCCGGGGTTTTTTTTAGGGGTAAATTTTTTGACTTTCTCTTTAAACCCCCTTTTTTTTTCTTAGGAAAATGGAATTGGTGCGGTATTTCTAAGAAAAAAGGAGCAAAACAGTTCTAATTACAAGGCCCGGGGGATTTTCCTTTTTTCAATTTAGATCAAAAGAATTTGGACTTTTTTCCTCTTTTCAAGGAGGAAAACACTTGTAATACTATTGATTAATATAAAAAGGGCAAAGGTTTTTCTATCCCCTTTTTTAAATTTTTTTTTGGAACCCTAGACCCAAACTGCCCCCAAAAATTTTTAAAAAAACTGCCTTTTTTACCCCCATTTTAAGTAGGATTAAAATTTTGAAAAATTGGGAGCAAAATATTTTTTAAAAATCCCAAAAATTCTTTTTGCATTTCCCCTTTAATTGGGTGAGGAAGGTGATGGAGAGTGAGTCCCCCCCCCCCCCCCCCGATTTTCAAGTTGCAAAATAACCCCAAATTAAAAAAAAACAGATGTGGGAAAAACAAAATTTTGGCCATTTTAAACTTTGGGCAGAAAAAAGCTTTAACACTCGAAATCCCCCCCCGACCGAATTTTTTGGTATCATTTAATACTTGTTTAACTTTTGTTTTAAAAAACCACACCCAAAAAATCGGCCCCGTTAACCATTTAAAAGTAGTACCCATACAAAAAACCCCTTTTCATGTCAACAAAAATAACGAAACCCGTTCAATTCACCTTATTTCAAAGTTGTTTCCCCTTTGTTCTGATTGTTTTTAAACGAAAAACTTTGAAGAGCACTTGTTAAAAATTTTGTGTGTCAGCTTTTTTTAAATTTTTATGGAGTTCCCTGGGAATAAGTGCTTACTTATTTTATGTCTAATTTAAATTTTGACCGTAATTATGGGATGTAAGGGAAAAAAGTAAATATATTAAATGAGTATATTTCACGGTTTTAAGGTCATTTCTATTAAAGTTTTTTGTTTCACAACACGGGAAAAAAGTTTCCTTTAATTTATAAAAACAAAAACAATTACACACACCCGTAAACCCCACACAACCCAATATATATATAAAACAAATTTTTCACTGAAGTAATTTTCGGGTAGCAACCCAAAAAAAGGGAAGGGGGGAAATTTCAGATTGCATAAGGTTAGAAGTTTTAGTTTAACAAATTTGGTTTCCCCTTTGGTTTTTGTAGGGCCACGGGACTGAATGCCCGTAGGTAGTTGGTTGGGGGGGGAAAGTGGGGGGGGGTGCTGACCTTTGTCGGGTTTAAAGGGGTTTTGTAAAGGCCCGGGCCGTTTGTGTTTAAAAAAAAAATATGCATAGGTATTGGTCGTTTACACAATAAACTTAATTTCCCTTATTGTGGGTTTTGGGAAAGAGGGAGGTTTACCTTTTAAAATAATTTTCAAACGGACCCCCACTGCAACCTGAAAAAATTTCCCCCCCGTAACAGTCCCCAATTTAAGGGACCCCCCCCCCCCCCCCCCCCCCAAAACCCCCCCCCCCTTCCGTGATCAAACAGCCAAGGGAAAAAAAACGCAGGCCCGGGAGGTTTTAAATTATGTCCCTTTGGGAAGTGTGGTGTGCTGTGAAAGGGAAAAAATTTAAAGTGGAAATTTTATTGGGGGAAGCTAATTTTTGGACCCCCCCGGGAATCAACAGTGAAAACCCCTTTTTGGGGGAGTAGGGGAGAATTGGGTTTTCCCCGTCAGTGCCAAAACCCAAAATTTTTACCCCCCGAACCACATTATACACTGTCAGAATTAGTGGCCCCCTCACAGTTTACCCAATGTTACGTACACCAGTTTAACCCCCGGCCCCCCAATGATTAGTCTCCCCCCCAACCCCTTTGTGTGGGGTTATTGTTTTAACCCTGTTTTGGGAGGGCCCCCCGCAAACATTTAAGGTTACACATTTTGGGTTTTAAAAATCTTGTGGAGGGAGTGGGAAAAAAAAGGGAAAAGGAAAATTATGAGGAATTATATAAATTTTATTAATATATTTTAAATTTAATTGGGGGGTCATGTAGTATCAAGGGAATGTTGGGGGGTGTAAAAACTGTTACGAGATAAGGGGGGGCGTTTCCCCGGGGGGTTGGACCCCCGTTTAAAACGCGCAATTTTTTTGTAGGTTTCATAAAGGGGGGGCCCCCCTTTTCCCGCTTTCATAAAAGAATTTAAAATGTTCACGTAAATTTTGTCAAAAGAACTTGTTTAGTCTAACATTAAAAATACCTTTTCGGGAAAAATTATGGGTGGGATAAAGTGGTGGATTTTGGAAAATTCCCCCATATTTTTCCCCGGGAAAATTTAATTTTCCCCCTTTTTAAAAAACCCCCCTATATGTTTCCCCAATAAGGTAAATAAAAGTAAAACATTTTGATGTTGATGGGTTTTGGAAATGTTTTCCCCCATTTATTTTCCCGGGCATTGATTTTCCCCGTCTAAAATTTAACCCCCTTTTAATATTTCCCCAGGGAATGGGAGAAAAAAAATGAAATTAAAAAAAGTTAAAATTAATAAATTAATTTAAAAAATAAATATTATTTAACAAGCCCCCTGAAGGGATCGTGTTAATTCAAAAAAGTAGTGTACATTAGATATGATTATACAGTGTTCAGTTTTGAGTTGGGTTTTAATGTGTTTACAGTGTAGAGATACGGGAACAGTGTCGTTGGGTAAAAAGGCTAATTAAGGTTTTTTGTTCCCCAATGTGGGGAATAAAAGATGTTTCCCCTGTGGAGCTTTTCTTTTTGGGGGAACATGATGGAAATTTTGGTTTTGGTTTCAGTTCAGGGGTATTGTCAAACATTGTTTTTAGTGTTGTTAGTGTTTGGGGTTGTTGTGTTGTTATTTTTTTCGTTTTAAAGTTGATGATGAGGCTTGTTGCTGATTTTAAAAGTTAAAATGTTTAGTGTGTTGGGAGGTTTAAGTGTGATGAAAAAAAATGAATGAAAATAAATTTTTTGTGAAATAATGTAAAAACAACCCCACCAACCCCAAACCCCACCCCAAAAACAAAACACTAACACAAACACTCACACACACATATTGAGTACAGTTGCACTGTACTTAAAATACACATTCAAGTGCTAAAATTAACTAACGCTTACTTATATTTACTAAAATTTTCTAATATTAACGAATACTTATCAACATGATCAACAATACTGTGTTATGGACAAAGAGCATATTATGAACCGAAAAGGTGCAGTTCACAAACATAATCAGGCTTTGATCATACTCACATCCCAAACCCCCCCACCCCCCCCCCCGGCCCCCGCCTATATCACCATGTAAAAAGACTTTAGTGTAGAAATTACATGCAAAAAGCAATATATATCCATGTTTGGGACAGAACGAATGTGTATGTTTTTAGGTGTAAATAATACCTGGCCCAGAGTGACGGAGAAAGCAAGGACACAGACTACGAAACCTGCCAGACATTCCAGAAATATTTTCTCGTTGTAAATTACGCTCAGACTCGGTACCTGAAATCATATAGGAGTTAATTTAAAATCAATATCATAAGTCATAGTATGTACTTGTGCAGCCAATGCAGCAGTAAGCATTAGCTGCATTATTATAGCATTATCCTAAACTTTATGTTGTCCTGAAGACCTGACCAAAATATATATATTATTACATTACGTTGAATAGAAATTATCGGAAGTATAGTCTTGTGTAAAATGAGATCTCTGATTTACAATACTCACAGTTGGGTACCGAATATCGCATTTTCCAAACGAGCACATGGTAAGCGCAATGTAAGCCAGGGTTATGTAGAGTGAGCACTTTATCAGGTCAACAGTAATAGATTTATATTTTCTGATTATGTGGGATACTGCGGAGGAGACACAGCTCAGAGAGCTTGTCAGAGAACATCCTGAAATTCAGAACAGTCAGATAAATCTCGTAAGCATATTATTAACATTATTTAAGCATATATTTAATTATATAATTATATAAAATGGTTTAAGTTTAATCTAATTTAAAAGCTAAATTAATCAAACAATCCATGGAATAAGGTGCGAAGAGAAGTTCAAGTTTAAAACATTTCAAACCTGAAGTGGGCGTGGTCTCAGTTTGTTCTTCTGCCGAAACCTGACTGTTAATTCGGGTGTTGTATCTGTGGGGGGATGGTGACCGGTTGAGGGCTTTGCGCCTGCTCGGGGAACGACTTCTACTGCTACGTCCGCGACTTGGTGATGGTGATCGGGAACGCGATGTACGCCTGATCCTTCTGGTCACTTTCTGAAATAAAACGAATGAATAATGTCTATTATACAGTATAGCGGGACCGGGATGTGATTATTGGTTTTATTTGATTGCTTTAGATCGTGATGCAGCATCAATAATATCACACATAGCACAAAAAGGTTTCAAAAATAATGTGAGGACACGTGAATCTAACCGTAGTACTGGTTGTAGTTGTAGTTGAAGATTCCACAACTTCAGGCTTAGTTGAAGATTCCACAACTTCAGGCTTAGGTGAAGCTTCAACAACTTCTGGCTTAACTTCATCTGCCATTTTCAGTTAGATTCAGCAATAATTTCGTCAAAATGCTCTCCTGACCAAACGTTACTTCACCAAACGTCCCTTTTTAAATAGAATAATTAATTTAATTAATTAATTAATTTAATTAATTGGGGAGTTATAAGCTTGATTTACCCGTTATTTGGCAAGACGTGGTTTATAACTGATATATGTAAATATTCGGCAAATTTATAAATTCTACGGTCGTCATTCATTCTGCAACTAAGTTCAAGGATATAAACAGTGATGAGTCAAAGATTAAAAACAGCAAGTTAGAAAATTATTAAACAAAAATGATAATATTTCCATCCCTTTCGTCTCAGAATTCAAGAAAATTCAATGCAACTATATCAAAGTCATCAACAATTAAGAACATCTAGTTCAACCACCGTACAAACAGATCTATCGTTTTTGTAGTAAATTTGTGCATGCCCAGCAGTAACAAAGAGAGAATTAGAAATGGCAGCCCTTATTAATAAAACTACAAAATTTGAAAGATGGCTGAATACTTGGTAAAACCTTATAAACAACTTATCTCAACTCGAGATTAAATCAAATAATAAATTGTTCAGTAATCAGTACGGTATTTTTTAATCATCAAATAGATTCCTGTTATCAAAACAAAAACTAAACGTATCATACAAATAATTTCCTATTTACAGTTCCATCCCATTGAAATTAACTTTATAAAGATGGAGCAATTTTTACTCAAGCGACCCAAAGCACACAAAATTGTCAATAAAGCAAGCTACAGATGTTTCAAAGTGTGAGCCAGGAAATTGAGTGCAGTAGATTTGTCTTTCAGCGTGTCGTTTATTAATGACTGAAAGTGGTTGGCTGCCTGAGATTCACTCTTATGCAGCAACAAAGTGGAATGTAGATACTCAATGTCTTTAGTTGTTTGAAGTTCTGGCATCCCTGCTTTCAGTAGTAGTGACAGTGTGTTGACAAGTAGATGGGAATGCTTGCGGAGGACTGAGAATGCTCTACACGCAACACTCTCAAACTGTTTGAAAAGTTCCCCATCTCTGCCACCCATTACAAATGCCAATGTAGATGTAAAAACAAAAGGAACCCTTTCTCGCTTTATGTTGAGGCCCAACACTTCAAAATACTTAACATTCCCAAGAAAGTGCCCAAAGTCGATGTGAAAGTAAGCACCATTACGCTTCACCATGATGTTGCTGCTATGCCTGTCTCCAATTCCCAAGACATAAGTAGCAACACAGTACCCTGCACAGGTCATGGTGAATAACTGTAAAGCTCTGTCTAAATCAACTTTGTAGGTGTTCTGCTGACTCAGCCATTCTTTCAGCAGATCAGCCCTAAACACACCTGTAACTCCACCATGCTCCAGCATAATATCAGCTAGTGTCATTGCATCCACAAACTCAATCATCCCACAGTTTTTACCAGTCCTGATACACCCATAAGGCATCATGTAGAGGTCAAGTGCACTTTGCTGCCACATTGATTCCATGAGCTTCAGCATTTGTATTGTAACCATGTCCTGAGTAATATCATCTCCGTGTTTGAATATAACTCTCATAATCTTCTTTTCAGAGTTACTGCTGTCACCGTTTTCGAATGCCAATAATAAAGGTTTCTTCTTTGAATCAAAAAAGGTGCACTCTCTGGGAATTATCTTTCCTAGCATGATATAAGGATTGAAAACGGGAGAAAAACTTTCCGGAAGATCTGAGGTGTGGAGGGCCTCTAAAAGGTATGCTTTACGTTGTGCATCATTTTGGTACTTCTCTGATTTGAGATTCTGAGCGATACCCCTTAAGATTGTACAAGCTCTCACTTGAGACAGAAGCCTAACTCTTTGTTCATCTCCACAGCCCCTGATAAAGGCCTCCAAAACCAAACCTATTCTCACCCGGTGCTCTAGTCTCTCAATGGTGCTCCTGAGGTGCCAGAAGAAGTAATGGCCAAATTCGCGATTTTCAAGAGCTCTCTTCAGAAGGAACCGAGCTAAGGGAGAGTCGTGATACGTTTCGTATTTGAGAGCTTCAACTAGTTGCAGAAGGTAGGTACTCACTAAATGAATATCGAGTTTCTCAAGACATGATACAGCATAGTTTCGGATTGGACGACATGGAGTTCTGCAAGATAGCAACTCAAGAATAACCTCCATTCTTGGAGGGGCCCAAACATCCAACATTTGGACAATTTCCTCTACGTTTTCTTGGTGACACCAGTCCACACTCTGTAGAAGTTTAGGAAGGGCTTGGTCATAGTTTTTGAGAAACCTGCGGTACTTCCATATCATTTCTTTTTCCTTCTCATTTAGTCCAGTGAGGGCATCAACATTATACATGAGAGCCTCAAGTCTACTCTGTTCAGAAGGACTTGGAATGGGACCCTGATCAAGATCTGCAAGGGGCGGAGGGTAGGATGGCACAACAACAGGAAACATGAACTCATCCAGCTCGATCTTAAGAAGCACACTTGATGGGACTGGGTTTTGACTCACAACGCTATCTGGGAGAGCCATTGTTCCATCTTCAATATCTTCATCTATGTCCCAGCAACTCAAAGTCATTTTTCCTGTCTTTAAACATGATCTAAAATCTATAAGAGAAAGGTTTATCCATGCAATACAAATATCTTCACCGACAGAGGTCGAATTTTCTCCCTTTAATGTGTCCGACTTGATGGGTTGGAGATTCTTTTTAGAGGATTTTGGTTTATTCTCCTCCGTCACTGACTTTTTGCGCTGCCCCTTTGTGATGGCTTTTACCTGAATATGAATTCGTGCATCTTGTGGGACATTACGTAGAGCTATGTCATAGGTTAACCATTGATACCATGTAGGAGATGCGGAATATGCAACTTGTTTTGTGCATCCCGGAGCTGAAAGTGGGGTTGTGCCATGGTACAAGGTACACTGAACGTACACATAAGACAACCCCTCTTCAATATCTGCGACATTTTCACAGCCAAAAATTCTTATTCTTAGCTTCTGGTTGATCTCCCACAAGCTCAAAGCAGCTATGTTAGTATGCAATTTCCCGTTTATTGTAAGGTCAGATTGAAGAAGAGAGTATCTCTCGGCAGGATCCAATAATGGTGTATTTAACTTGGGTTCTTCATCACCAGGAATACATGGTTTCCCAACATACCACAGGTCAACATGTTCTTTTCTGATAAGGCATTCCCGAACATGAACAAAATCTACAAAAGGTGTATCACCTGTGATGTAATCACTGATACCTGCAACTTTCAGAACATAATCTGTTGCTTTGGCGTCCTCAGTAAGCCCATATAGTGTTCGCTTCACCGGATCTTTAGGAAACATTTCATCCCTAACAAAATCAGCACTCTTGTCAAACAGTTCGCTTAATTGAGACTTTGTACTCCCAGTTGGAAAGAAAAACTGAATAAACAACATTTGTTCACGGCATCTTTTCTGCAGGTGAACTGGAAGTGGGGAAGGGGTTATTCTTGGTCCATAATAGTAGTCATAGTTATTTCTGACCTTCTCTACATTTTGACGACCATCGTGAAATTCTTTCTGGCACACTCAATCTCAACATTCCCCTCAATGCCAAGCTCAGAGGGAGTGATGCCAGTCAAAGCTTGAACCATGCTTATCATATCTTTATCATGGCGGCATAAAATTCTGTTTCTTGGGCGTAATTCAAGCCATTTCATAAATGTTGAATCCTCCATCCAATATTGGTAAATATCTAAAGAACATAGCAGGACAGATTCATCTATTATCTCATAAACATTCAATTCATGACTGTAACTAAAAACATAGTCACACGGAGCTCCACTGAGTTCAAGTCCTTGGGAGACCAGGTAATGCCATAACTTGTTTTTAATCTCTTTTACTTGACTGTTAACAGAAGCTTTCATAAATACTGATCTGTCTTGAGGTAGCATGAACTCAACTTCGATCTCTTTTTTTGGTAGTCCATGAACTCTGGATGGCATGATGGTCTCAAACTAGCCTGAGTATTAAATGTTGAATTAGAAAATAATTTCTGGTTATTATGATGTTTTTACACAATTGACAATTTAACATGACTATAAAGTGTTTTCAATCTTATATAATAAAAGAAAGATTTTATTTTATACCCACAATCAACATATTAAATAAAGAAAACACAATTGTTGCCCTGCAACACTGGTTCAGGGCGTGGCTTTTTAGTTTAACAATTATGAGTTTGCATAGAAGAGTTTGGTTTTTAAAATTGAAAACTAGAGCATACAGTAAGAGCTAAATTACTTGGAAGTTAATTACATGTGTAATTGGATGCAAGGGAAGTCATCTGACATCCCAATACATGTAGTTAAAGAATCGTCTAGAGTAATCTGTCCTATACTATCTGTATTATACATTGAATGCATGAGGAATGGAGTATTCCCAGATGATTTAAAGACTGGGAGAATCAGACCGATCTATGAGATAGTAAATTAAACTTCAAAAGCCATGTAGATTATATTATTAGGAAGGTCATGAAGAGAATTGGTGCCATGTATAGAAGTAAAGCACTGCTACCCATTAAATATAGGAAAATGTTTGCCAATGCACTCATGTTGCCACAATTCGATTATTTAGACACGATCTATTGTAGAGCTGGCAAGACAAAACTTGCTGAACTTGACACTCTGTACAAAAAGGTAGCCAAAATAGCTCTCAACGTTCCAAAAACAGAGAGCAGCCTTAATGTTTATAGAGACATGAAATGGTTACCACTCCATCTTAGACGACAACTCCATCTGTCAAATTATATGTTTAGAATCATCCATGACAATTGTCCTACAAACTTTATGAACAAATTTAGTTACATATCAGGAGGTAGTAGGAGCGGCGAAAGCTGCAACCTTTATGTCAATAGATCAACATCACATAAAAACTTTCAATACTTGGGGGCAAAATGTTGGAATAATGTTCCAACAGATCTACGAAATCTGCCCGATGTTAAAAGCTTTAGTGATTCGTATAAGAAACAGCTACTATCATCTATAACAACAGACCCTAATTATACCGTCGACAATTCATATGACAAATTTTACACTGCAATCATAGTCGCCGATAACTAAGTAACTTCTAATTCTTTTAAATCTGAGGCATATATAATTGATGTATCGAAAAGATATTCCCTTTTTTACCACCTTACCATTCTGATTGATTTTGCACATGACTGACATGTTTTAACTGGAGAAGGGGTTCCCACAGTGGTAGTTTTATAAACCAATATTAATTTATTGACCTATTATACTTAGTGGTAGTTTTATAGACCACATTTAATTTATTAACTTATCATACTTAGTATTTTTTTTTTGGTGACTGTATCACCTAGTTTTAACATTTGATAATTGTACAGTTTATTGACGACACATTGACTGAATGTTATTTTATATTCTAATTTATATTCTAGATATTTTATTTATTTTACAACAGACGACAACTTCCTGTTTTTTCTTCTATATTAGTTACTCATATCTCTTGTACAGACTTTTTTACAAGGACATTGACAAATGATACTCACATTAGGCATTCATTATTGCATCTAAATTATTTCACTTGCATTAGGCTTAGAAATTTATTCTCTGGTCAACAGATTTCAAATGTTTAATTAATTTGTAGTATGACAGTAAGGTATATAAGAAGTTATTTAATTTTGCTTGGGCTATTATATTGACTAGGTATTGAGGTTTAATGATGATATGGAATTTGAATTCTATATAAATTTACACTATGTGGTTGGGGCATTTTGCATAGTAAATATGGTTACTACTCATATTATATATCATATTATTTGATTGGTATTCGATTTCTGATTATTTCTCTAGGAATATGATTATTATATCTCAATTTGGCTTTAGATAGGGTGCCCCGCTAAAAGAACTGGATTCTTCCAGGAAGCATCCCGTGCACAGAGCTTGGTCTACATATATATTAAATTATTAACCATTCATTCTGTATATGTGCACGAAAATTTATTTCAATCAATGAGAAGGATAATGAGGAATTGCTGGAAAACTGTAGGCCAGTATCAACCTTAGCTGTTTTTGGTAAGATATTCTAGAAAATTATTTACAACAGACTGTATAGCTTCTTTTAGTCCCAGAAAATTATTTACGAGAACCAGTATAGCCATAGATTTAGAAAAAATCATTCTACAAGCCATGCCCTCAACCTCTCAGTGAATTACATAGAACCCTGTCTTAACAAAAAATTGCATGTGCTTGGAATATTTATTTACCTACCTAAAGCATTTAACACGATCTCACATTAAAAACTACGTAGTAAGCTAGACAACTATAGAATACGTGGAATCGCGAATAGACTCATTGCTAGTTATCTGTCTAATAGATATCAATATGTTTCTGTACTGGGTAAGGAGTCTGACAAGCTGCATGTTCTCTTTGGAGTTCCCAAAGGCTCTTGTCTCGGACCCCTGCTATTTATACTATATGTTAACGACTTATATAGAACAACTGATTTAGGCAAGTTCATACCATTTGCAGATGACACAAACATATTCATAGTAGATAAATGCGGGAAAAAATGTACTGTAGATAACACTAATTTCTAAAAACCATAGAATACTAAATATAAAATGTGTCCAGTAAGGCGAAAATGCATAATTTGATAATTTCTGGACGCCGTCGTCGTGGTGAAAGTAACCCTAACCAACTTCATGCCCCTATAACGATACTGGCGAGCAAGCATGTTTGCTGTTTAGTTGACCGATGTTACTCGTCTAAATTTCTTCGAAGTAGCGCGCGCCGCTCTCTTCTCGAAATGTGGCCCGACAGCAAGTGCTTTGTAGGTTTACAACCTACCAGGACGCGCGCCGAGTTGGACTCGTCGACGGTCCTGTAATATATGGAACATATATTTTACGAGTATCACCCGTTAACATGAACAAGTGCTACGAAGTAGCGCGCGCCGGGCCAGATCATTAACAATGGTTAACTGTTTAGTTGCGTTTAATATAACGGAAAAATTAATGAATTAATTCATTCATTCGAATTTGAACAACGATTAGCTACAATATACCGTTCATCTTAAATCATTGAATCAATTTTATTATATGATGCAGAGGTTGGCCAGTTCTTTTATAATAAATGTGACACTCCGATTTACAGCATACTTGCTAGGGAATAAAACAAATTAATATTATTAGACTATACATTCACATAGCCACGAATCTACGCGAACTGCGTGACGCGCCTGTGTCGGCGGTCGCGCGTACTATTGTAGCGCGATACACTACTGGGTCGCGCGCGCATCAAATAATGCTTCTCGCAACCACAGATGCAGATCGGCGAGATGCGAAGGATTGACATCGTGAATCAACGCGTACTACTTCAAGCAAAATGGCTCTGGTTACAGGTTAGAGCAAAATTATACATGCAGTGTGAATAACTGGTAACCTTGATTCACGATGTAAATCCTTCGCATCTCGCCGATTTGCATAAGCAGATCGGTTGCGGGAAGTGCATTCTTGGATGCGCGGCGCGGCCCAGTAGTGCATCGCGCTACAACTGGTAAACGAGCCTTCGGTAAAAACGAATTTGGAAAAGTCAATGCGGCACTCGGTTTTTTAGTATTGTTGTCGTATTATATTATTGATTGTATCATATCGGTATATTGTTCATTATCTGAGCTGCATTTTGCCCGAGCTGAGGCATTGCTCTAACCAGAGCCCTCTCGCTTGCAGTATATTCAACTTGTGAAACAAGCGCGTCACGCAGTATACACATGGCTATGTGAACCCGAGGCAAGTGCTACGAAGTAGCGCGCGCCAGGCTAGTTCATTAACAATGGACAATATAAATAGTTTCAAAAATAGTGAGTTATAAATGTTATACAGCTTTAGTTAAACTGACTATGTATAAATGAATGAAATACCTGATAATCCGCACTTTTATAACTCAAAAACATTGATACATGTTACGTATCACAAATATCGGATAAGTGAAAAGTGGCATGCAACGTATGTCAAAAAAAACATTTTCCTGAAAACCTGTTTGTTGTTTTCCTAATAATAATTCGATCGAAATGACTTCCAATAATCATTTGTATCACGTGGTGAACCCCACGGTCGCTTCACTATAGTAGCGTCTTCGACGCTACAGGGGGAGCCGCGCACTTCGTGCGCGGCGGGTCATACAACGTATGACAAATAATCATTGCACGTGCATGTGCGTGTAGGGGTGAAACACAGTTATAACTGCGAACAAACAAACCACACTAGTAAACACACCACTACCAACCAAATACCACACCAATCAAACTCTCAAACCAGCTACTCTCTCGCCACAACACTCCCTCACAGGAACTTTCGTCGGAATCATTAGCCACAAACCTAGTACCCTTTTCGGGGCTTTAATCGCAGGACGGTTCTGTACCAGGCGCCCCAGCAGTCTGATCTTAGACCACTTTCCGACTAGGCAAACACTTGAAGTAACCTGTCAGCGCTCGCAATTGACGACGAGATAACGTTATGGTTCTTCTAGCTGTTAGTGTTCCCTAAGTTCCTACCTTCCTTACTTCCCACTCCCTCCTCCCCGACAACAAATAAATCCATCTGGAGCAGTGGGCCGCTTCTCTACCACTCTCCCTAACCAACTTCTTTAACTCCCTTCCTCCAAATCCAATCCTCCTAGCAGCTCCCTCTAAACTACGACCAACTATCCCTCTAGCTCCCACTTCCACAGCGAAACTGAAACAAGACCATCCGTTGCTCTGAATTTCTGTCTAAAGGCTGCTGTACCTATCCATCTTAAGCTCGTGGGATTCTGTAATCCTCTCCTCTGACGGTACGGTTAACGCCCACCACAGCACCTTCTTGGCTGACCGGGAAAAGAGGTCCGGCCTCAGGTCTTGCCAATCTCCTCTGGGAACTTCAGTTGCTCATCAAGATCAGACCTCACCACCCAGTCCCGAGATGCACTCAGGATACCAAACTACGTTCTGCACTCTTCTTCGCTGGAACCTTCTTGCTTCCCTCAGGCACAAAATCAATACATTGCTCGGTCTCCTTCACTCTATTCTTAGAGGTTTTCACTCGGCGTTCACAATGGAAAGTCACGTGGTCTTTGAGTTGTTTGAGAAGTGAGAACCTTATCATGCCGCCACCTGTAACGCCCTTGGCTCAGTGAGACCCTACAACCGGATAGAATGTGTTGTATGGTCCCTGTCCTATCCTCACACAGCTTGCGTGTAACAATCATCATTACCATGGTAATAACTAATAACTATGTTGTTTTCTATTTCTCGTCTTATTTGCACATGGGCGGTCGTACATTGAATTGTACATACATCATATTATAACATAAAACACTTAACTTTTTCTTCAAATTTTTTTCTTATCTTAATTATGACTAGAAAGCCCGTAATGACACCAGAGGCACATATTAGGTGCGGTAAAAAATCGAAATTATGCGGTACCGCACCCGACTATAAAGGTAAAATGTGCGGTAAATTTTTACCAATTATGCGGCAAATGTGCAGCGATTTTTTCGAAATTTGTCCGGGAATTGTGCGGTTTTCTTTTGCATTTTCTGAAGGACTTTGGAAATTCTAAACGTATAAGTATAACCGCCGCTCTTATCAAAAATAGGTCTGTTTATGTGTTACTGAGGGTTTAGTTCTTTACTAAGACCATGATTGAACCTATATTGAGATTCAGTTATCTGAGAACAGTGACTTGATCTGGTAGAGATCAGGAGACAGTTACTTGAAGACGCCTCTTGATAGAGTCGATCAGATCCCATGCATGATCGCAAATATGTGACACGCTTGTTGGCATTGATCGTCAGTACTTGTAAACCATTTGATCCAAGATCCATTAAGCCCACTATAAAGCCAACGCTACAACGAATAGAGCTCATTACCCGATAAAAAGGGCTGCAGGTATGATCGAAGAACGGTAACGACGAGGGTTCCATAACAGCCTGGGTCACGGTCCCGAAAGGGCCTGGGTCATGGTCCCGAAAGGGCCTGGGTCACGTGGTAACCGGGTCACGTGGCCTAGGCATGAGTTCCAAAAGGGCCTGGGTCACGGTCCCGAAAGGGCCTGGGTCAGGGTCCCGAAAGGGCCTGGGTCACGTGGTAACTGGGTCACGTGGCCTAGGTATGAGTTCCAAAAGGGCCTGCGTCACTGTCCTGAAAGGGCCTGAGTCACGGTCCTAAAAGGGCTTGAGTCATGCTCCTAAAAGGGCCCGACTTTTAACATATTTTGGTTTTTACACTCGAAAATCTTAACGCGAAAATTTCAAAATTATGCGAAATTACGCGGAAAATGCTAGATTATGTGGAAATATGCAGAAAATTACAAAATGTGCGGAAGTGTGCGGAAAACACCCATCGCACCTAATATGTGCCTCTGAATGACACAGTAAAGGAAGAAGCTAATAATATTCTTTGGTAGTCAGTTTCTATGATCGCCTCAAAAAATATCTGTCACAACCGAAGATATTGACGTATGTTACTCGTCTAAATTCCTTTGTAGTAGCACGCGCCGCTTTCTTCTCGAAATATTATTGGCCTGATTGCAAGTGCTACGAAGTAGCGCGCCGGGCCAGACCATTAACAATGGTCAACCGAAGATACAGCTCAGCCGATGAAATGTAGCTTGCACTGCAAACACAATGTAATTACCACAAAATTGATGAAAAATGACGTTAAACATTAAAACAATCATTGCACGTGCATTTAACAACGCTTGTTACCATGGTTACTATGCAACTTTTATTTGTCTACCTAATTTGCACGTGGGTGGTCATACATACAGACCGGCAAAATAATTTTTTGACATTGAACGAATTTATTTATTGCGAATTTAAAGGATTGCTAGTATTTTATGAATTTGTTTTCACTTCTGGACGTTTAGACAGTAGAGTTATATATATATATTTCGTTGCTGAACTCCTATACATTAAAAGTCGGTGTTGATTAGATATATATATATATATATATATATCTAATCAACACCGATTATATATATATTAATGATATGTATAAAACAATACCAATCATATCATCAGTGATTGGTACCAATCATTGGATATGATTGGATACCAATCATATCGTCAGTGCCAAATAGAATAATGAATTGTTGCGCTATGACATGTTGCTACTTTAAAAAATTATTATTATCGATCATGAAACATTTTCAAAATTTTCAAAAATTATGAATACGGAAACTTTCAGGAAATCTAAGTTTGACCCATATCTATAATCTCTGAAATTTTGGTGCAATTTGGAGACGAATTATGTGAGTTATTAAGAGGTTGCGTGTGGGTAGTCACTTAAGGGCCACCCTGTATTATGTAAATAACAAAATTTAGAAAATGTCATGACCAGTAGTTCAAGTTGTGCTTGTTCAATATTGTATTTGGACTAACTGACATGGATTTTGTACCTTAACTTAAGGGGGCATACCCCAAATCTGTCCAGACCAAATGACCTCATAGGCAGTTCAGTGACCTTCTAGCGCACCGTTTCCACACCGAAAAAAAATTATTTTGAGAATACCCATTTTTGTAATCGAGCATCGGGTTGAAATTTTGATCGCCGTTTATTCACAACTATGTCAAGGTGTGTGTAAAATCTTGATATCGTATCTAAAAAGGCTGGTGTGTTATGAATTTTTAAAGTCAAAAAGCTAAAATTGTCCTTTTCAGGCTTATTTTAACAAAAAGTCAGTCAGGGAAGATCGGATTATTTGATGCTTGACATCAAATTGTTCTCTGAATTCTGGCGCAGTTTTTGATGCCCTCAAAAATGTTTTTACTCATTCACCTTCTGATCTATTGGACCTCAAAGCCAAGCAACAAATTTAGGCACATTTTTCGTTTTTAATATTTACTGATTTTTCTAAACTTTTGATAGGAATGTGCTAGTGACTTTTTGAAGGGTGCAAAATAACCGCAACTAGCACATTTATATATGAGTTATGAACAACAAAACACCCTAAAATGATTCCCTTTGAAGTTATGGGAGAAAATGTGATTTTTCATCTGCTAAGTCAAAAAATCACATTTTCTCCCATAACTTCAAAGGGAATCATTTTAGGGTGTTTTGTTGTTAATAACTCATATATAAATGTGCTAGTTGCGGTTATTTTGCACCCTTCAAAAAGTCACTAGCACATTCCTATCAAAAGTTTAGAAAAATCAGTAAATATTAAAAACGAAAAATGTGCCTAAATTTGTTGCTTGGCTTTGAGGTCTAATAGATCAGAAGGTGAATGAGTAAAAACATTTTTGAGGGCATCAAAAACTGCGCCAGAATTCAGAGAACAATTTGATGTCAAGCATCAAATAATCCGATCTTCCCTGACTGACTTTTTGTTAAAATAAGCCTGAAAAGGACAATTTTAGCTTTTTGACTTTAAAAATTCATAACACACCAGCCTTTTTAGATACGATATCAAGATTTTACACACACCTTGACATAGTTGTGAATAAACGGCGAGCAAAATTTCAACCCGATACCGCAAGAAATGATTAACTTATAGCGTCTCAACCACAAAATAATTTTTTCCGAAAATTGCACTCTTAACCAGGAAATGCTCGATTACAAAAATGGGTATTCTCAAAATAATTTTTTTTTGGTGTGGAAACGGTGCGCTAGAAGGTCACTGAACTGCCTATGAGGTCATTTGGTCTGGACGGCACAAACCACTGTTTTGGGGTATGCCCCCTTAAATTATGGGTACACTTAAATTAGTTATTAGGCACTAACCTTATCAATTTTCTAATCGTGATCTTATCTTATACTAATGTTATCAATATTTTCTATAATTTGTGATTTTCAAAATGTTTCAGCTGAAAATTACTGGCTGGCCCCATCACCGGAGCATCCTTGTAACTTTTGTAGGACTGTCGAAGAGCCGATTATGTATTCTAGCAAGCCAGCAACTCGATGTGAGGGATATTTATTTTTGACATTCTGATTCCTAGTGTAGTAGTAAAAAACAATAACATTTCATTATTTGAAATAATTAATCAATTCAGAAGTTTATTCGTGCAGTTTTGTCACAGAGTACATACTATCAATAACAAGCGACTAACGCCACCTTTTCTGGGGTGTAACAAAAGTTGAGAACTTAAAAATTACGAATTTATTATTCCATACATTGATTTAAATTAATGGATCAAGTCTTACATCAATATAACCACCTCATTGAGGATACACTAAGTTATTCATAGTGAATTGTGAAATTGCAATTCAAAAATATTAAATCAATCCTAATTAATGTAGATTCTCAATTATATTCTTTGTAGTTTAAACTTTAATAACAGACAAGTTTGTAACATTATTGCAATCACCATATTATTAAGTATGTAAATCATACTCTGTAATAATATAAAACCCTCTAAAAGAGGTGATTAAATATTGAAAGTAAAACATAAAATCAAGGGCCAAGATTTTACCTTGGAATATGACAAGAGCAACAATAAACAAAATCGAGATTATTATAGAAATAAAACTCTGTCACGACATCTTTTCGTTAACATTAGCACCAGCCTCAACTAAGTAACATCATACTACATCTGATTCTCCCTGCTGTATAGCTATATGAAGCGGAGTACTCCCATCGTCCGTCTTTTCGTTAACATTAGCACCAGCCTCTACTAAGTAACGTGCTATATCTTAATATCTAATTTGCCCTGTTTTGAAGCTCAGTGAAGCGGAGTACTGCCATCGTCCATCTTTTCGTTAACATTAGCACCAGCATCAACTAAGTAACGTGCTACATCTGATTCTCCCTGCTGTAAAGCTAAATGAAGCGGATTACGCCCATCGTCCGTCTTTTCGTTAACATTAGCACCAGCCTCAACTAAGTAACGTACTATATCTAATTTGCCCTCTTCTGAAGCTAAGTGAAGCGGAGTACGCCCATCGTCCATCTTTTCTTTAACATTAGCACCAGCCTCAACTAAGTAACGTACCACATCTAAATTCCTCTGTTGTGAAGCGAAGTGTAGTGCAGTACTCCCATCGTCCATCTTTTCTTTAACATTAGCACCAGCCTCAACTAAGTAACGTGCTACATCTAATTCTTCCTGCTGTAAAGCTAAATGAAGCGGAGTACGCCCAAAGTCCATCTTTTCGTTAACATTAGCACCAGCCTCAACTAAGTAACGTGCTACATCCCATTCTCCGTGCTGTAAAGCTAAGTGAAGCGGAGTACGCCCATTGTCCATCTTTTCGTTAACATTAGCACCAGCCTCAGCTAAGTAACGTGCTACATCTAATTCCCCCTGGTATGAAGCTATGTGAAGCGGAGTACACCCATCGTCCATCTTTTGTTTAACATTAGCACCAGCCTCAACTAAGTAACGTGCTACATCTAATTTGCCCTGTTTTAAAGCTAAGTGAAGCGGAGTACACCCATAGTCCGTTTTTTCGTTAACATTAGCACCAGCCTCAACTAAGCAACGTGCTACATCTAATTCTCCCTGCTGTAAAGCTAAGTGAAGCGGAGTACACCCATCGTCCATCTTTTCTTTAACATTAGTACCAGCCTCAACTAAGTAACGTGCTACATCTAATTTGCCCTGTTTTGAAGCTAAGTGAAGTGGAGTACGCCCATCGTCCGTCTTTTCGTTAACATTAGCACCAGCCTCAACTAAGTAACGTAATATATCTAATTTGCCCTCTTCTGAAGCTAAGTGAAGCGGAGTACGCCCATCGTCCATCTTTTCTTTAACATTAGCACCAGCCTCAACTAAGTAACGTACCACATCTAAATTCCTCTGTTGTGAAGCGAAGTGTAGTGCAGTACTCCCATCGTCCATCTTTTCTTTAACATTAGCACCAGCCTCAACTAAGTAACGTGCTACATCTAATTCTTCCTGCTGTAAAGCTAAGCGAAGCGGAGTACACCCATCGTCCATCTTTTCGTTAACATTAGCACCAGCCTCAACTAAGTAACGTGCTACATCCCATTCTCCGTGCTGTAAAGCTAAGTGAAGCGGAGTACGCCCATCGTCCATCTTTTCGTTAACATTAGCACCAGCCGGGGGGGGGGATCATACACTTAGTACCGGACATGACGTTGGTGGGTGGGTCATTTTTTCTTCTAAAAACACAGTTAGTACATGGTACTAACTGGTGGGTCTACTGCCCATTTTCCAGAAAAACAGTTAGTACATGGTACTAAAGGGGGTGTCTAACCCCAAAAAAACCCATTTTACCTCAAATTTCAATTTTGGGAATGGGTTTTGAGGTTTTTTAAAGTTTTTTTTTGGGTTTTTTTTTAATTTTTTAAATTTTTTAAAGTCTTCCTTTAAAGTTTAAATGAGTTTTTAAAAAAAAAGCAATTTCTGGGTGGGTATCTTATTCTATATACCAAAAAACAGTTAGTACCACGATTTTTCGACAGTTAGTACCGCAAAAGGCGGCAAAAGGGGTGGGTGTCTTACGTATTATCCAAAAAAACAGTTAGTACCGCAAAGGGGGTGGGTGGGTCTAGTGAAAAATATCCAAAACTACACTTAGTCGACGTGATGTCCGACACTTGGTACCTGATCCCCCCCCGCACCAGCCTCAACTAAGTAACGTGCTACATCTAATTCCCCCATTTCTGAAGCTAAGTGAAGCGGAGTACACCCATCGTCCGTCTTTTCGTTAACATTAGCACCAGCCTCAACTAAGTAACGTGCTACATCTAATTTGCCCTGGTATGAAGCTAAGTGAAGCGGAGTACGCCCATCGTCCGTCTTTTCGTTAACATTAGCACCAGCCTCAACTAAGCAACGTGCTACATCCCATTCTCCCTTCTGTAAAGCTTTATGAAGCGGAGTACGCCCATCGTCCATCTTTTCGTTAACATTAGCACCAGCCTCAACTAAGCAACGTGCTACATCTGATACTCCGTGCTGTAAAGCTAAGTGAAGCGGAGTACGCCCATTGTCCATCTTTTCGTTAACATTAGCACCAGCCTCAACTAAGTAACGTGCTACATCTGATACTCCCTGCTGTGAAGCTAAGTGAAGCGGAGTACACCCATCGTCCATCTTTGCGTTAACATTAGCACCAGCTTCAACTAAGTAACGTGCTACATCTGATTGACCCCCTTTTAGAGATGAGTGGAGCGGAGTACACCCTTGTTTGGTCCTAGAATGAACGACCAGACCTATTTCTTTGATTAGGAATTTGACTATTTTGATTTTTCCACATTCAGCTGAATAATGCAGAACTGTTTTTTTGTTATTATCTAAATAATTCGAGTATGAAGATTCAAACTTATTGAAAACGACACTTATTTTATTAACGTCATCAGAGTTTATAGCATCAATTATTTCCTTTTGGTTATCAGGGGTCAAAGATTTTTCTGATTGTAGTAATCCTTTACATGTGTGTGGTTTAATGTTTTTACTAGATTCGGCGATGTCAGGATCAAAAGCCTCTATTTGAATCCGTGTATCTGTATCAGCTAGAAGTTCAAAACTCGACAGTACATGTTTTAAATGACTAATTACTGTATCTTTCCTGTGTGTATACAGTATGACTGCACAATAAACTCGTGCTCTAGATACACCCAGGTAGAGTTGATGGAGTATTTGGTACTCACTGTCTGCTATATCTGTCACATCCATAAGGAAGATGACAACAGGCCACTCTGCGGAATATGTATCCGATAGATTATACATGGACAATTGTTTAATCCTTTTTCTCAAGAGTGTTTTTGTTGCATGCTCGGTATTACTTATCATAGCAATATCTGATGTTTTTATTTCATCCGTGTCCATGACTTTTCGAAGCTCTTCTTCAATGCCGACAATTACCTGGTCAATTACCTGGTTATGTCCGTTGCAACGAAGAAATCGTAGTACTGGTTTGGTCCCATGAACGAAATGTCCTGACAACTCTTTCGGCGACAGCAATATACCCTTCCTTATGATTGATAACACGTTTGAAATATCACAAGTGTTCCTAAGATTTCTAGACAATGTAAGGTAGCTGTAAACCTGCATCATTGAATTCATCGCTGGGAACAAAGTAGGCAAATTCTGCGGAGCCATGTGGTCGATCGATTGAGCAATGTCACTACAGATCCAAATCGTCAGATCCAAATCATATGATTCAGTTGTAGTTGTCATTTCTTTGACTCGTTTACTCCTATCATAATGTCCATCACTAAGTAAGCATTGCTCGTCATCAATAAAAAAGTTGAATTGTTGACTTACCCGTATCTTAATCTCCTGAAACATTACCGTATAGATCATTTGATCGATTGATCGCAGTCCATCCCTTCGATAATTTGCTCGTCCAATTGGGCTCGAGTGTTCTATACTTAATTCCAATAACACTACAGAGCAAGGTCTTCTCAAACAAGAGTTTATTTCATCGACTACAGCATCATTTTCAATTAGGCCATTTTCTGTCATAGCTGTCTTGATAACTTCTGGCTGTATTCCAGCTGTCTTTAACGCTTTTTGATACACATCTGAATTTCTGTCTCCCGTATTGAATATAAATATCACAACTTTATTCTTGCCAGTTTTAGCCAACTGAATAGCTTTACCAAGAATCAAGATTGTCTTCCCTGAGCCGGCCGGCCCGTTGATCCACAGGAATTTCTTTTTGCTCTTAAAAACTTTATCCTGTTCTTTTGTGAGATAACTGATGCCCATGATCTTAAAAACATCGTCTGCCACCACGAAATCGGGATTCTCGAAGCCTGATTTGCTTCTACCAAAACCGTAAGTTATTTTCGCGTCTTTTAGCTGACTGTCTACTTTCATAATGTTGCTGCCTAGGCTACATTTTTCTTTAGGATGGCATCTGTTTTGTGGATCAATGATCCATAGTCCAATTAGGATATTCCTCAAGTTTGACATTTTCTTCTCATCAGTATAAGAATGGACAATTTTGTTCGTGACATTTTCTGTCCACCATTGTAGAAAGACATTTCGGCCCTCAGTAAAAGACTCCTTGAAGATTATGTTAGATCTTTGATTTTGGTCGAATCTTTTTTCTTCAGATTCTGATATGCTGAGAAATGCGCAAAACCATTGAATGTAGGGGTAAACCTCGTTCCTGTCATCAGAACCTGAGTAGAGCATTCTTTTGATTAATTCCTCTGTTCGCTCTCCTTGCTGTTTCTTACTTTTAAATGCTTTCTTAAGTTTTTTATTAGATGTTATATTCGGCCTGATCTGCACATCAGAAACTTCAATAATCACGATGCAATTCTTACCAATCACAACGAAATCACATTCCCCGGCCTCTTTGTTGGGTTTCTCAGAATCATACTTGAAATCTGTTTTAAACAATGCATACTGTCTATTGGTGTAGCTGAGTCCGTGCAAAACCACGGCATGTTCAAAATCCTCGAGTGATCGATAAACTGTAACCTCTGCTTCATATGCTATTTGCTTTCGTTTATCACTTTCGTTTTCTTTCGTTAAGATTACACCTTCCTCCTCGGAAAATCTGTCGATAAACTTTGAGTTTGGAATCGGAGGTAGCATTGTTGACCGATTATGTCGATTGTTGCAGTATTTTTCGTTTGCTTGCTGACCAGCTAGTTTTATTTTCTCTATCACTTCCTCATCCGATTCTGAAATCAACATCATCAGTATGATGCAGAATCTGCATTGCCGAAGTGCATACAAATTTCAAGTTTTTCTTTATCAGATTTTTGAATTTGTTGAAGATGTGAATTTCAGACTTCAGTGCTTATTGAATATTGATATATCACCAAAAGGTGACAATGCTTTAGTGTGGCATATGAAATATATACACAAAACTTTGTTTTATGGTACAACATTTATGTATTATATATCAGTGTTGTTCTGTCTCGTTTTACAATATAGTATGGAAGACATAAAATGTATGTGAAACCATCTGTGAACAAATTTAAAAAGATCAGTCCCCAAAGAAGGTTGATTCAAATTCAATAGGGTCTTAAGGACCCCAAAAAAGAAAAGAAAAAAAAATCCCTTTAACTCGAGAAGGAAAAGGTCGCAGTCATTCACCAGTTTCACATCTGAACTCCCACTAGAGCCGAGTTACGAAAACAACCTACGTTGCGAACTGATCATTTCAAATTTGTCTATAAGTCTATAGATGGTCCTAGATCTCCCAAACTTAATGTGAGATTTGTGCATCTGCATTAACTAACACCAAAAGTATTATATTTAATTGTTTAATAGGTGCTCATACCTGCTCTGGAAGAAGAGGTTGTGGGAAGATTATCATCTTTTTCTGTGTCAGCCTGCTCGGTTGATACGTTTGATGCATGAACAGTAGGAAGTTCATCTGTCACTTCCTGAGAGGATGGTTTGTCCAAATTCATCTGGTCATCGCTTCTTCGTTTGCATTTTGTAGACACTATGGAGTTATAACAATTGTAATTTACATTTTATCTTTCCTATTTTTTTGTCTTTCGTCATATTATAATAATTATCAAAATGATAGCAAATTGAGCAAAAAATTACACTCAAAAATGTTTAACGATATTGTTCCATATTGCCCTATTGAAGAAAACTGATAAACAGCAAAGCACGGCAACAAAACGCTATTTTTGTTATGATAGTTACTATTGATAGTATTAGTATAATAACTATTTGATAGATAAGATAACTTTACAAAAACGAGCGGAATGCCTGTCCTACGGACTATTAAGGTTCAGGGTCAGGAATTGAGCTGAAAAGGTGGTGAACCAAATATGGAGGGTCACATCAGAGGCCCTGCAACTAATTGCAGGGCTAATTGAAACTAGCTGCGCACAGCAGTGAGCCGCTATGTTTCCTTAAATTTGATCTCATATTGTTATTTGTGAACAAAGCTTTGCTTGATTTTTATTAACTTTTTGTAATTTGCTTTGCCATTAAATTAAAGCTTACAAATTGATATGCCATTAGTTAAAGTTTGTTACGATTTATTATATTTGACATCACTTTTCTATTTGATTTTGATATTTTCAGAAGTTATGTTTTCATATCAGGAGTGCCCATTGGGTTTTTTATTTTTAACTGATTATAATCAATCATAAATGATGTAAACATTAAACAATGAATTAGTCCATAGAGACGATCCCCTTACGAGGGGCTTTCAATTTGAGCTTTACGGGTTTCAGCTAATTAATCAAATATCTGAGACAATTCCTGTAGACACATCCTCGGCCTGGGTCTTGAGACCAGAGACAGTTCAAGGAACCCCTCAGAAATAAATTAGGCTAGGATAGGTTTTCTGAATATGGGGCAGGTTTGAACTATTCCAGGTCTCAAACCCCGGGTCAGAAGATCTTTCTACGGGAATATTCTCAGATCCATGAGAGGAGTGATGTCTATCAGCTGCTTTTAGTCCCATGGAAAAATGTTGTTTCTAGCCGAAATTATTGCCCGTCAATGCAATGGTCAGCCCTTATGTGTAATTGTATTGTGCTGGTGATTTTCAATCGTGCATCCTAAAAATCGAGTCTAAAAATCTCTCTACTCCTACAGATTTGACACGAGCCGAATTTTGAGATAGGCCTTTAAACATTTTTTATTCGATTTTGAAAATCTTGGACCTCAAAAAATTGTTAAAAAACGATCTGAGTGTAAATATTGTTTAGATACCTATTTTGTAACAAAATGATGCTATTGACAGTGAGTATGACAGAGCATTGCAAGACAATTTCTCACCCTTGGGTGAGGACACCCCCCTATTATCCTGTAGAAGGAGCCGATAAGATTGGACCAAGTGGTCACTACCCGTTCAAGCGACCTGTCAATTTGAAGGTGAGCCAGAAATTAAGAATTTGAGTTGTTTGTTATAAATTAATTTGTTTATTGGGACAATTATTTGGGTTACACCACAATATACATTTATTTTACAATCTGAGTGTATTTGATTTGTATCTATTACTTGGATGTGTGTTCATCAGTTGGGAAATAACTGAAAGCTCCTGTATATTTTACAGAGGTAATTCCTCATGGAAATTTAAGAAATAAGACCAAGTCAGTTTTAATGTTTCTTTTGGCCAGTCAATTATCTACCAATGAGCTCTAATCAGAGTAAATACCTCCGTCACTCAGGAAAATCCCACTCATTGGACTTTGAAGAGGTACACTGGATTGCCAGTGGACTGTAGATTGAGCGCCCCTGTGCCTAGTCGCAAGATTAACAGCGACCAGGGCGTACACCTCAAAGGTTAATTTTAGATAGGATATTATGTTAATGATAAAATGTCATGAACAGCAGTTGTGCTAGTTCAATCTTTAGACCAACTGACATGGATTTAGAAATTTTACTTATAACTTATGGGGGCGCAGTTTAATTAGTTGCTAAACACTAGCACTAACATTACCAATTTTGTGATCATGATATTTTCTAATAATGATCTTGTTTCAATGTTTTAAATACTACAATTTCTGATTTTCAAAATGTTGCAGTTGAAAATTACTGGCTGGCCCCATCGCCGGACCATCCCCGCAACTTTTGTAGGACTGTTGAAGAGCCAGTTATGTATTCTAGCAAGCCAGCAACTCGATGTGAGGTATGCTCTACTTTTGACATTCTGATTACAGGTGTTATATTTAATAAAACTATAGTATTTCAACTGAATTTAAACAGAGCAGAAATTCAGTTGTGCACATTGCAGTTCTGTCACACAGTAGTGGACTGTTATTATAATATATAACAAGCGAATTATATTAGTCACTTGTTAGTTACACCTCAGAAAAGGTGTCATTTAACACCTTTTCTGAGGTGTAACGAACGCTGAGTTTAAAAATTATGAAGTTTATAATTAACATTAAAATCAAGTCATTATGAGGAATAAATCCTACTCCGGTCTAAATTGCCGATCAAATTTAAAATTTTAGAAGGGTTTAGGATGGCCTCTAATAAGGTAAAATACAAAATCGAAGGCCAAGGTTCGACCTTGGACTGTGGCAAAGTACTAACGTGGCACAACTAATTTTCCATTCTGTGAAGCTAAGTGAAGAGAAAAAGACTCACTGTACATGTTATAACATTCTTTACCAGATATCTGTCTATATTATATTTCAATCTTGACGAAATCTCCCCAGCAACGGCATAAAAACACTGAAATTTGGCCAAAAACCGACCCTAACTCGATCTGACCAATGTCAGCTCGCAAATTGAGTTGAAACTAGCAATTTTTAGCAAGGTTGCAGAAAATGGATAAGTATCTATTATAGCTATCTTAGAATTTTAAATTAGGCTTTATAATTTGTATAATTAACGTCGTAAGAGAGGAAAAATAGACGTAAGAATAATGGTTTTATTTCAACAAACATCAAAAGATTACACGTGTGATGTGCACGAGGAGGCACAGATTAACAACACGCATTTTCGTGCTTTATGATACGTCGCGCTAGCTTATATTTACGATCACGGTGTCATTTAACACCTTTTCTGAGGTGTAACGAACGCTGAGTTTAAAAATTATGAAGTTTATAATTAACATTAAAATCAAGTCATTATGAGGAATAAATCCTACTCCGGTCTAAATTGCCGATCAAATTTAAAATTTTAGAAGGGTTTAGGATGGCCTCTAATAAGGTAAAATACAAAATCGAAGGCCAAGGTTCGACCTTGGACTGTGGCAACGTACTAACGTGGCACAACTAATTTTCCATTCTGTGAAGCTAAGTGAAGAGAAAAAGACTCACTGTACATGTTATAACATTCTTTACCAGATATCTGTCTATATTATATTTCAATCTTGACGAAATCTCCCCAGCAACGGCATAAAAACACTGAAATTTGGCCAAAAACCGACCCTAACTCGATCTGACCAATGTCAGCTCGCAAATTGAGTTGAAACTAGCAATTTTTAGCAAGGTTGCAGAAAATGGATAAGTATCTATTATAGCTATCTTAGAATTTTAAATTAGGCTTTATAATTTGTATAATTAACGTCGTAAGAGAGGAAAAATAGACGTAAGAATAATGGTTTTATTTCAACAAACATCAAAAGATTACACGTGTGATGTGCACGAGGAGGCACAGATTAACAACACGCATTTTCGTGCTTTATGATACGTCGCGCTAGCTTACATTTACGATCACGGTATTCAATCTTCGTTGTGATTGATATTTTTTGATGCCTGATGAAAAAGTATCGTTTCTAGGGAATACTTAAACCTTTATCATCATTGTCAAATAAAATTCATAATTTCTTCAGTACGTACCTAGATGATGAAAATAAATTAGAACACAACTGATTTTTAAATTTCCTCAAATGAAGCTCTACTAGCGGGTTTGTAGTACGATTACAATATAATACACTTGATTCTAAAATATTTTGAATCTTATACGACAGCAAAAAATAAAAAATGAAATATAAAGCTCACCCAAGCAAAGCATTAACCAGGTATAATTATATTTTTAAGGGAAATGAGGGTGTAAATTTAAACGAGAGAAATGATGACTGAAGAAATAAATTAGATCCACCAAGATACGGGTATCTATAGAGATTCGCTCAGCATTAAATTGTATTGTAGCCGTAACGGTAATACTAATATTATGTTAGTACAGTTAACAGTAACAACAATATGATAAGATCACGCGACGTCGGGAGAACTAAACCAAGAAACCTCGAGTATGCTTAAAATTGTCGGTTGAGTAAGGTGATGCAAGTGAGATAACACGTGAGAAATTAATATGAAGAGAGTATCCTGTATCATGTTTCGCAGAAAATCTTGACACTGGCCGGTATTTAAGTGAAAATCTGGGTTCTTATAGTAGGCAGTGATGTTTTGGGGATGGAAGTTCAATTTGTCTCTGACTGAGAGCGAACAGTCAATTAAGACATGATTTTCGTCCTCAGTAGGTTTAAAAGGGCCTGTTTTGGTGTATGCCCCCTTAAGCCCTTTGCTAAAGAAGCAGAAAGGGGTCGTTCACATATTACGTAATCAACCGAGGGGGGTTTCCAAATGAATATGCTAGTGTAATTTTGAAACAATAGCTATGTGTAAAACTGATTACGGAAGGGGGGTAAAAATTGTCCACAAAGTGATGACATAATATGTGAACGACCCCTAAGTGCACCATCGATCTTCTCTTGGTACAAGGGGGGGGGGGGTTTCAAATCGCCCCTTTCAATGTATAGGCCGTGGCAGCTGATACGAAAGTCTAAACCTTGTTAAGCTTTTTCGAACATGTATTACATATTTCGATCACTCGTAGATATGCTTCTGGTTCAAATGCTTAATTAGATTATAGAATTCTAGTTTTGGCGAGATGCCTTGGCAGTTTTCCAGGTATCCACGAATTCTTCCCTTATATTGTGACTGATTTGAGTGTAGAGCTTAGATTTTGAAAAAGATGACAAAATGGAAAAAAAATGTTCAAGGAATTATTCTAATGATAAATTATAATCATGAACCGATATGAAACGCTTGTTTATGATAAACTGAGTACATACATTATACATGATTAAAGATCCTGATATTAAATCTACCTTTATCAGGAGTGGTCGACGTTGAGATGCATGTTACCCTCACAAGGGGTCCTCAACCACCAGAAGCCACCCAAGTGGGGGACGGGACACGCGCTACCACCAATCCGTGGGGACGATAAAACCACTTACACCTTCTACAACAGCCCAATGACAGAGTAAGTTGTCCGTCCGTCCGTCCGTCCGTCCGCCCGCCCGCCTGCCTGCCTGCCTGCCTGCCTGCCTGCCTGCCTGCCTGCCTGCCTGCCTGCCTGCCTGCCTGCCTGCCTGCCTGCCTGCCTGCCTGCCTGCCTGCCTGCCTGCCTGCCTGCCTGCCTGCCTGCCTGCCTGCCTGCCTGCCTGTTTGCCTGTATGTTTGCCTGCCTGTTTGTCTGAAGCCAGTCTTTCATCTACCGCACCAGCAAATCCTTGTTAATTAAGCGGAGAGTAGATCGGTTCATTGAGTGAAACCTTTCTTATTTTACACAATACTTACCTCGGCAGTGTGGCAGGTTAGTGGGTACATACCTACTTCGCAATTTGATACTTGCAATTATTGGGCTTTATAACATCGTTTTGAATGTTTTAGGCCTCATTAATTTGGCTTATCGTCCTCAATAGGTTCTATTGGCTTCACTTTGGATGACTAAATTTCGCTACTAACTACGAATACGTTGAAATAGATGAGATATAGTTCACTAACTCCACTTTGGCATCTTTACAGTACAACATGCAACAATAATCATCGTACACTGTACACTGTACACAGTACAGTGTACAGTGTCTATATTATATAATAAGAAATGTACAAATGTTTTCCGTTGAGCGGATAATGTAGCGGAGAAAGAAATCATTGTATTTTTAAAATGACAAATATTGCCCTCTCCGTCTTGCGTACTCTCTTGGAACATGGTCACAGGCCAAACGAGAATATGATCGATCGTCTATTGGTTGCCAGGGAAACAGCATCAATATATTTGTTTTATACAGCAGTTTAATAACGTGATTGCATATTACATCTTTATATCATTGACGGTAGGAGTTGAGATTTGTTGGACTGATCAGCTCATGGACTGAAATAAAGTCAGAAATGTTGCGATAAATTCAATCTGTCTGAAATATTATTTGCTAAATTCTTTTAAAAAATATATTTTGTTCACTGAGTGTTATTGGAATGAGGTTGTGATATGTGGTAAGTCCTGTTCAACACACCAATTTTGTTTTCAGTTATGTGGATGATATGCACGCAAGCAACAAGCTATTTAAACTCTTCTAGAATTGCAATAATACTTGGATCTCCTCGGCTGCTATTCAGTGATGTGCTGCAAAACTTTAAAAATCTCATGAGACGATTTAAATAGTTCTTGAAGCAAAAAATGCGGCTACAAAATCAGGACTGACAAATATTTTTCGTGATGAAAACGATTACTGATGTTTTTCAACAATAATCAGTCGAGAGACTATATTCAAGGAATATAAGAATGAATGGAATTTTTGTCACTCAACGTCAATGTAATTTATATGGCATTGTGCCAAAGATTTTAGATTTTAGATACAGATTTATTTGCTAAGAAAAGATTTAATTTACACATCATTATGATTGTCGAAAGATTTACATTTTATTTTTAAATCGAATTGATGAGATTTGTAAATTTACTTTGTTCTATGTAAGGAAAAACTTGGACTAATGCTGGACGTGATACATTGTCATAAATCATAATAATGATTTCATATGCTATAAAATGCGACAAATTTCTGGACCAGGGGTATACTGTAATTGTTATCAACGTACTACATTTGTTGACTCGACAAGAAGCCTATTCGAAATATAATTTGTCATAACCTTCAAATGACATGGCTGCAGCCTAAATAAAAGTGTAGAGCGGCAATCCTCCTTATTTATCATAACAAGCTTGAAATATTACAATTTAATAATTTGATCATGCATTGCATGATATGAGTAATTTTTATTAGAATCAGAAATATCCTGAATAATAAATGTTAAATAAATATTCCTTTTAAAAATTTCCTATAACTATTCCCAGAGTAAGGGTAATTACAAGTGAAACATATTCGACAGTACAAATTATATCCTGACGATTTTTCTTCTCGAGAAAACGATTCCATGGTGTCTTATGATGAAATGTTATGTGATGTGTGTAATTAAACGAATGATGATTTTATGCATACTTATCTTCATAGAAGCTAGAAAAAAAACTCAGCAGTGAGTACTTATTATTATTATTTTGATTATTTGAGCTATTGCATAAGTGCACGGCATTTTTCTGCTCGAATTACCAATCTTGATCTGAAACACTTCAGTACTCTCTCCAAACTTGCTGTTGTGTGACGCGCGTGTGTCCCGACCAATTTTCATTTTAAATACTGAAACTTAGCGTAGCGATCCTAATAATTGTCCGATTTCAATTAAATTTCATAGAAAAAAATTGATTGACTTGTCTGGATTAAAGACGATGCATTTGGCGATCAAATTTAAAGTTAAAGTTAGACTCATGAACTTATACAAATAAAAATGTTCACGAAACTATTATATCGAACGAAATGGAAACTTTAATAATAAATTGACTCATTTATAGAGAACTTTTGCTTTGAGGATTCCTGAATAATATTGATAATTCGGAATCCTGAAATTTCCCGGATTTGTAGGGAATCCAGGAATATTTCTTATGATTGGGATTGCCGAATCGGATCGAATATTTGATCGTCGATGACTTACTAGTTATTGTGTTGAGATTAGCAATACTTTGCATAACGAAACCTGACTCTTACAGTTTTACATCCCACTGTTTTAGCATTTGCATAAATAGCAGGAATTTTCTGACTCGACACTGATTGAAACCTTCATATCCGGCCCAAACTTGTACGGATGCACGCTGGCCACCAAGCCGAAATTAGATTTAAATGGTAGTAAACAAAAAAGATCATCGACTGTGACAGAAATTTGGTAATTTAACGTCATATTCATAACGCACACCAATTCAACCTTACAGGCCTACCTTAATAATATAATCTGCATAGTACATACCGATGGTTAATTCCCAGCACCGTTCTACAGGTTGGCCGATGTGGCTTGGGTTGAGGTTTATTTAGTCAATCGGGAATCCAAAATCCCGGGTTTCCTGAATATCAGTAATCAACCACCAATTTGGGAATTTAGATTCCAATATTTTGTCCCGATTTTCAATTAAATTTCATAGAAGCAAAAATTTGATTGACTTGTCTGGATTAAAGACGATGCATTTGGCGATCAAATTTAAAGTTAAAGTTAGACTCTTGAACATTATACAAATGAAAAATGTTCACGAAACTACTGTATATCGCACGAAATGGAACTTTAATAATATATGACTCATATTATGAGAACTTTTGCTTTCGGGATTCCCGGGAATAACTTGATATTCGGGAATCCCGAAATTTTCCCGGATTTTCGGGGATCCAGGAATTTCTTATGATTGGGATTGCCGAATCGGGATCGAATATTTTGATCGGTCGATTGACTCTACTAGTTTGTAGTTGAGATTAGCACGTTTGCATAACGCAACCTGACTTTACAGTTTACATCCCACTGTTTAGCATTTGCATAAATAGAAGTAAAACTGGGAGATGGGCAACTTGCTGACTGCGACTGATTGAAATTTCCTATCGATATCCGGCCAAGTATCTTTGTAACCGGATTTTGAAGCCGGCCATACCTGATCATCAACGGTCCACCCGAACATATAATACTCAGAATTTTAGAAGTCAATGTAAGGATATCTGAGTTTAAGGAAGAAACTGTGAAATTATAATCTATACTGGCATCATTAATTGAGCGTACGAATCTTCATTTAAACCTTCACGCACACTTTATCGACCTTTAAATTCTTTTCATGAAGTAAAGTTCCTTGCTACAGCTATTAACCTCTGCATACATGATTTCTGTTTGATATTCCATCAAATTAGCTTCAAAATTGAAAATCTCTATTTCTCACCTAACATAAGGAAGGCTTGATCCTGCTCCTCAATTACTCTAGAGTCTCGCTCAACAGAAACAACAATTGTTGTGACAGTTTCCCATCCCCACCCGATCTCAGCAGAACAAGTCAGCGTGACCTGCGGTACATTTCAGGGTCAGAACTGTCGGGCACTTGCCAGTGGTACCGATATGGGTGTAAATTTGAATTAGCTGTGGTAAAGAAGAACAAGAAGAAGGTCTGTACATACATGATAAATTGCCATAATCACACAGAGTTTATCCCTATTTGCCAGATTTTCAGGTGACTGATCATTTCTCAGTTATATCTGAAATAATCAACAAACCTGTTCCTTTCTGATAGAAATAAGTACGCTCTCCTCTTGAAAAGTCAAAGACAATTCGTCAGAATCTGCTCCAGAGTTAACCTCAACATCAAGTCGTTCCTCGAGGCAGTGTATTCCTGCTGCTATCCTACCTGAAGTGTTGTCAATTATAATGCCTATCATGGTCTGGGTAAAGAATAATGTTAGCTATGTGTATTTTTAACTGGTTATTTTCAGGCACTTATCATATTAATAATGGATTGGCCGGAAGGTATAAATAATCAAGTCACCTGGGCCCTGGCTATATTATTATTGAATACCTGTTATTTTGTAAGAAGATGATCTATCGAGCACCAGTGCCAGGATACCGTCTCGATTGAATTTTATACTGTAGTTGTTACTGTTCTTCATATAAACTCTCAGTTTCTGAAATGTGTGGCAACTTTAATCTTCGGATTTAAGGTATTTCCAACACGAGAGCCCAGTTTTCATTGTCTCATCATGCCTGGTAGCAAAATCAAAAATTGCAGTGCGCAAATTTTATTACTGCACGCGAAGTTCGGTCATTCAAAACATCCAAGAAAATAATTCTAAAAATAATATTTGTTACCACGGTGGATGATATCATAACGTCGTTGATTTCCTTACTACAACCATTTTTATTAGTCTTCTTGCAGGACATGTAGGATCCCCCTATGAATTGAAAATTTTTAAAAAACTCAACTCTTTTCTGAATTCACGATCCCAACTCTCATCCAAAGCCTTAGTAAGTAAAATTTTCAGTTCAGAGTTGGTAGAATCAGTGGATGAACCGTAAAATTTGGTGAGAGAAATGTCTTAATAGTCTGCTTCTTTTTATTTTTGGCTTTCTACCAGTGTCTATACTGACTTCACCTTGTCCATGATTGGTCCGTGAATTCATCAGTGATCAGCATAGAGTTTAGAAATTGATGAACAAATTATTCCACAAGAAACTCTGAAGAAAACAATTCAAAAATTCCTCACCTGCGTTCCAAGCCAGTATGTTTGGTTGAGGAGTACTGTAAATAGGATCGTTTTTATCCCTCTCAAATCCCACTGATCCCCTCAAGACAAATAACAACCAGAAGTAAAGATGTACCATTGTGCTAATAATATTAAATTGTATTATCATCATAAGTCTGTTACAATGACAGAAGAAAATCTACTTAAACTTTTGAAAACTAAAAACAGAAGAATTTGCCGAAACCATCTTGAAGAATATAAATACGACAGTATGTCACAATCAATAAGGTGAGGATGAGACGACAGCTGGTGGGCATGTTTTATAATTGGAGCTTGTAACTGAAAGCTGGTTTCACTTAAAGATCCTGCCTTCCAGGCTGTGACAATTAAACGCTCCTTACTTCGCCAGATGGTGGGAGATTCGTGTCGGTTAACCATTTGAAATGTCCTCTACCATCTCTCAAGATATCATCTCCATGTGTTACTACAACCAGCCAACCTGATGCTTTAAAATGTGTTATTTAATGCTCACGTGACGTCTACCAGACCACGTGGCTAATCACTGACAACTGTAACCATGGTAACTGCTCCACAGCACTACTACTGGGGGTTTGAAGTGTACTAAATTATTATGAGTATAACAGATGTGCGGCAGACTTGCCTCAGGATTGCTTTCTCTTGGGGTTACTATGTCAACTTATTTTAATTGAATGACCTGTTCATTCAGGAACAATGTTTAAAAAAACAGTTTATAAATCAAGAGGCTTGCATATAATGAACATATTGACATGGGTGCAGAGTTGAGTCTGTACGGAACCTAGTAGTTTCAGTTCCCCGTTTAACTTGCCGTACAGCAAGGACATCCACTACTTTAGCCCGGCGAGGCACATAGCTCACTCTACAACTCCGTGTCAAATGTTTCATATATACTAGCCAAGTTCACAAGATATATCCTTGTGTTTGAGGTTAGAAAGTATCTCGCTTTAGGATTCGTTGAAGGGATGTCTGGCTGAGGTCTAAGGCAGGAGCTCGTTGTTCGGGGCAAAATTTTAGGTTTATCCCACCGACGTCACAGAACAACCATGGTGATGATTTCTTCGTCCTCGCAGTTTGGTCTCGCCGACTCATCGCCGATCGTTTGCAGAAAAAGTGATACTTGATTCTTGTGATGCATATCAAAAGCAGCTTTTTCGCAAGGGGATGGTTGAATTTCATTTGAAATTGTCGTTTAAAAGCTGAGTACATAACAAGTTTCACTTATTCTGTCAAACGATCGGGGCGAAGAGTCGCAGAAGACCAACTGCGAGGACCGAATAAAACATCACCATGTTGTTTGTGACTTGTGATACACTATATTGCACCCGAAAACAGCTCCTGCCTTAGACCTCAGCAGAACATCCGTCAA